ATATAAAAAAAACTTTGTCCATTAACATACTGATCTGCATCAAACCTGATTGGATTAGGAAGCAGTTTTTGGAAAATGGTGAGTTTGTACTGCTGAGGAACAGTGTTAAATATATTTTGAATATACTATATAAAATGCCTCTGCCTTTGGAAGTCCATAATGATGCTTTTCCCTCACAGTGAACAACAACTGTTTGAGGGCAAACCAAAGTAGCCAGCAGGCGAGCATTATGCAAACATATGCAAAAAAATATATATTTTCTTGTTGCATTTCTGAAAGCGGTAGCACACCGGACGAGAAGCGTGAGTCTAGGGCAACTTATCGCACACCGGACGTGTTGCGTTTAGTTTGAGATTGCAGTCCATAATCTTTAAACTATTCTCCAAACAGTCAAACATTCACTTCAAGAATGAGCAAGTGGTGTCAATGAGTTTGAAGTTCATTGATTAAAAAAAAAACAGAGCAAACAGAATGAGAAAGTGCGGTCTATTGTAGTCAAAGCACGGAGGCTGGTGGTGCCGCCGGTGCGCGTGTAGAAAACAATGTGTTCGAACATTAAAGACATGGTGTGGCGCAGCACTGCACTTCTCGTCCGGTATGTGACCGCATTAAGGCTGGAATACCCTCTTGTTTCAAAGGTGGAATTGTCAAAGATTACTTTTAGAATTAGACTCTGTAAGGCAGGCTGGTAGTCTATTTACCCCCCGATGAGGGTAGGGGGAGATGGCCAAGGTTCAAAAGTCATGGTTTGCTTCTGTTTCCACTAAATGATCTAGAAAAATCTGCTGTCTAAATTTAGCCTTTGGAAAATTGGCAGCTGCTCTGTTGATCTTTTTGGGGCATTAAAATGTGTATACTGCAGCACTGGAATGACAATTGAAATTCTGAATGTTTTTGTTTAGTGAGAGAATTTTTGATGATAACCCAGTCAACACTTTGATCTCACAGTGATGTCACCATGAGCTCCCAGGATACTCGTGATGAGGTCACAATGTGAGGTCACAGTGAGCTAAAAGTGTAACCTCACAGCGCCCTCAATGTGTGCTCATACTAATGTGAGGTCACAGTGAGCTAAAAGTGTAACCTCACAGCGCCCTCAATGTGTGCTCATACTAATGTGAGGTCACAGTGAGCTAAAAGTGTAACCTCACAGCGCCCTCAATGTGTGCTCATACTAATGTGAGGTCACAGTGAGCTACAAGTGTAACCTCACAGCGCCCTCAATGTGTGCTCATACTAATGTGAGGTCAAAGTGCACTCACTGCACAGAGACTAGGTACCCAGCATGCATTGCAGCATGAAGCTTTTGATTGTCACCATTGTTGAGATTCATACACTGATTCTTGATCTTTCTCTTTGTTTTTAAGTGGCAAGGCCGCTCACAATACTTGTAACTACTCATGCTTTTTTGAAATAGCCTAAGTTATTATATTGTTGCATCTTATACTGCATAATCTAAGTGCTTATAAAATTAAAAACTCTTCACAAAGATTGCATATCAGGGAGAAGATTGTGCTGCTATCATCAATAACAAACCAAAATCAGTTGGTTGCAGTGTCTTTTTGGTATTCCATGCCATAATAAATGTGCTTTACAAACACAGTTACAGCAGCCCAATAAATAGGAAATGCTTTAGATTACAACCCGCAAAGAACTACGTAAGTATACTGAATTTACGGTGTATGTTTCTGTAATTATAGTGTACCTATAAAGAACGTACGTGTAGATATATGGGAACAATGTGTTACGTTTGGGTAGTAAGGGGGTAACAATCAGATATGCCATCTGCAAAGAACTGCGTAAGTAAACTGAAGTTACAGTGTAACTTTTTTGTAATTACAGTGTACCTATTTAGAACCTCCGTGTAGGTATAAGGCAATAATATGCTAAATTTGGGGAATAAAAGGGTAAAAACCTGTAAAATTACAAATCATTTATACTGTAAGTATTTTGAAACGAAGAGGTACCTATTCTAATAGTACGTGGTATGTATGGCCTAAACAACAATCTTATGTTTGGGAATGATTTAGAAAGTTTAAAAAAAATTATTTTTATAATTTTATATTGGTATTTTATTATAGGCATACAGGTATTTTTTAACCATGGGGTACACATTCTATTATTAAAGGATGGACATGATGGAGATTACTGAACAACAAAACTGGACATCTATAGTGAAATGAGTTAAGGAGTTTCTGCTATGATTTATAATTCACGAGTCTACTTACCTTATAAAAGCTTATTCGTCGATTTCAGCAACTTCACACCAGCAACTTCTCAGCACCACTATCACCAAATAACTTTGCATGATATA